GCACACAATGGTAGACAGGAAAAGGAGAGAAGAGAATCAATAGAATTTAGATAAGTATAAGAGTGAAACAGAATGAGTAATGGTAGAAAGGAATATGAAGGTTAAAGAGACTGAATACATCTGCGCCATTGACAACGATTTTGAGCCATGTCACCTATTGTCTGTCACCAGCCATTGATTCTTAGAGTCCCAAGGGCGGGCCCCAACCCGGAAGTCTGCATCTCCCTACCTGACTCATTTTAACTGTCAAGGATTTCATGGATTGATGCCATGTTTTTGTTTGGCCACCACTTACTCTTTTCCAACCTGCACCCATATCAGCTAGTAATGCCCTCGAGAGGAGGAGGCGATGGCTAGGCATGCGCAGCACGTGACCTAGCCTATGTGTACAGAAAAATAGTGTGACTAATATTTCACTACCCTGTCAACTATGATTGTTTTGTTCTGTTACATAAAATTCTACCTAATTTTGATTTTCACTTACTGGGGTGAACTGATTATTAAGTTTCCAAATCTACTAAATTAAATTATTTTATCCATCTTATAATTCTACTTTACTATTCAACCACCCACCCACCCTCCTCCTGAACTCTCCATCATAACATGTACAAATCCACCCTCTTGTTCGACTCTGTATTCTGTTTCTAGTCTATCTTTGTTTCCAAGCGAAATCTACAGTCTAAATCACTGTAGAAAGTACGTTCAGAAATTTCGCAGTTGGAGAAAAACCATGAAATAAAATGAGCTTGTATTATCCTGCATATATGTTCGTTCTTTCTTTATTCATACTAATAAAGGAAACCGATTGTATGAAATTAAAAATTTATTTTCCTCCAGCACTAGAATAAACCACTTAATTCTATATGATGTACCGCTGAACTCAGTTTATTTTCATTCTTTTGGTTTCGAGTAAAACAATCAGGTGTCAAGGATTTTGGAGTCTCAGTAGCGGCAGTGGTCATTTGACAGAATTCGATTACTAGCCCCAATGGCCAACCTTCAAACTTCTCCTGGCTTAATAACGGTTAGCGAACTAGATGCCTTTTGAGAGTGCATCAATCGATAATTTGTGCCCGGACCTACGGGATGTTAGGTGAATCTCATACCCCTGAATTATCAGCTGGACTTTCATTAATGTGATAAAATCTTATGTGTAAATAAACTCGTATTGTTGGTAGATTAGTAAGCATCTTTTATTTACATCTCATGTTCCACAACTACGATTCTTTTGTGTTGAAATAATCTCCCAAATATGTTATATATTATTGCGTTTACAGTAACTGTCATTTTTGGGCTGTTGGCAGCTGATGGAAGGCCGTGGAATATAAAAAATGGGCTCCTTTTATCCTGCAAATATATTCTTTCAGGGTACTACTGTGGTGAGAGCTGGCTGCTAGCCAAAGTTGGTAGACAGTAATTGACGTCAAAGTTTATGTCCCCAATATTGGTGGTGAGAAAATGAGAACAAAGGCTTTGCGTAGGCGGATACAGTTAGCATACGGATGATCTGACACAGCCACAAAGAGATGCAAGGTTAACTTTCTGTGAGAAACAACCAATCAAAAGACTGTATTCTCTACTAACAATAATCTACAATAATGTACATTAAAATCTATATATGTGTTGATTTTCCTTAATAAAGGATCTGTTGCCTGGCCCTTGTCTTCTGTTGTTACACTACTACCTCTGACTCCAAGGTCAAAAAAGTCGAAAATTGGTGTATCGCTCCCAAATGACTCAGGGATGCCGGATAATAGTATTACGGCTTGTGATCATGGGTTTTAAGGTTGTTTGGCGATAATATCGCCTAGATTGGCTGCCTTACTTACTACGCATAAATCGTGAAGTAACCATAGCAGAAGTCATATGGAGGGTACGGGCTTGAGTGATACCATTCCCACAGCACACTTATATGATTATGGACGGTCTTCTGGTATTCGCAGACGTACATAGGCTATTTACATGCTGAGTTGATCGACAGCGATGATGATTTTATTGAACTGGGTGGGTGTTGGCATCGTTAATAGGGGCCCGTGTCACTGCAGCGTTGCCATGCATGCTACTCTTGCCTATAACAATGCGTTCAGCTAGTCCTGTGTGCGAGATGGGCTCCACTGAGCTCGTCTATACAGTGCATTACTGATTGATGTGATCATTGATTGGAGTAAATATGCTTCCCTATACATCAGTATGTGTAATCATGGTGAGAATAGTACATCGAGGGAGAAGGCTATCCAGTGGCTGCGACACAGGATCATAATTCATGCCCATCTCGTCTTGCAAGCGGCTGGGATAGATGTGTTCGGTTCTCCTGAAAACTAGTGTATAAATGCCCAATCAATGGGTGTACACTGTGTAAATAAACTGCCTGGTCCTAGCAGTAATCAGAGATTAAACCATTTACATCTAAGTGCATACCTTAAAAAGGTGAAACCGCGAAAGGCTCATGAAATCACCTATGGTTCCCTAGATCATATATACTACCACATGGATAAATGTAGCAATTCTAGAACTAATACATACAATTATGCCCTAACCTACAAGGGAAAGGGTGCATTTAAGTGTTATGAAATTCCTCATGATAAACAAAAAAGTAGTTCAGCGACGGGGCTCCTTTCGGGGAATTCATTTTCTTTAGATATACAATCACATTTATATACAATTTTTTCATGAAAGACGGTTGTTACAAAAATGATGAGTTGTCACGTACATAGTTGTTGCTACTCAGATCCAACACATTTGTAGTTCTGATGCCCTAGAAGCAGAACCGAATCTTCTGAAAGAGACCCTCTTCAAAAATGGATACCCACCAAGACTTATGAGAAAGAATATCAAACCAAAAGTTCACTGGAACGAAACACTACTTGTTTCAAAAAATAGATTCTTTACGTGAACCTGCGTTTCAAGGGAGATTTCACCTGCGATATCCGTAAGAGGATTTCGTCATCTTTGAGGACATACTTCGCAGCAAAGCTAAGAGTAGTGTTCGCCAGTCGTCCATTGGTCTGCAGACGCCTTAAGAACAAGATCTCGTGTCTCATCACTTCTATGTGCATATATCAGTCCATCTGTTATTGTGAAGCCACGCACATTGGGCGTTAGACGCGTATCCTGTCTACAAGAGTTTAAGAACACTATCCCACTTGGTCACAGAAAGATAGTAGTGACTCTATAAGGAGTGCAGTAATCAAACACATCATTTCATCTCAACAAATGACTCCTTCAAAGTAATCTACAAAGTGAAGGACAACCTGCCAAAGGCAATATGCTTTCGTCTCCTCTGTATTACTGAAACCTTAGGCATTCAATTAGGAAAACTGGAGTAATGTATAGAAAAGAAAATTATCCACCCACTATCATGGCAACAACCTCATTGACCTGATTTTTGTTTTCTTTTTTAACTCCCTTATATCTCTTCTAATTTTTAGAGCTCTTACATAATGCCATATTTTCCCTCACATTTCTATGTGCATCCTGAATACAACTCATTCATTAAATTATTCACCTTATTACATAACTCTAATACACTTATTCAACTTCCTTTATGCATTGACTAGCGCTAACAACTCATCACTTTTGTTACTATCTTTCATTAAAAAGAATTGTATGTATAAATGCGATTGTACAGCAAAAGAAGGTAACGAATTCTCTGAAAAGAGCCTCTTAGCTGAACTAAGTGTTTTCTTTTGATTAATGTCTATCTAGATGAGGATTATTCATGAAGTAGAACACGTGGCAAGGATTTCTACAAAGGTAATCCTCCCAACAGAATGACCTCATATCCTCTTTAAACACTGGTGCTTATATTTAATTCAATTAGATTTTCCCGTCAACTGATTGAACCGAAGTGTTCGGTCTCAGGTTGATATATCAGTTCCTTATGCAGATAATGCTTTGGCAATTGAAACTATGGGCACTGGGTTTGATCCTCGGTTGAAAACACCATCACACTCACTGTGGAGTGCAGGCACATCCAGGTGACGAGTCCCAAATAGGAGAGCCGAAATGCGTATCCTGGATTCCACTGCCAGTTACTATCCACCAATTGGTGCGTGAGATGTGAGCTTCAATTCAGCCTCTTCCAATGACCTAGTAGACTGCTCATCATTTCTACCAGTTCATGATAAAAGAAGGAATTGAGCACAAAATCAGTACGCAGACAATCAATTAATAAGAGGTATGACGTTGATGGATAAATACTCAATACAGAAGACAACTGTGTTTAGGTATAAAAACTATCGTTCACTAGCTTTATTTTTCACCTAAAAACATACACACGCATAGACACATTGATGTGATGAATACCCACACATACACACACACCCCTGCCTCCTATAATTATATAATCCCTTAAAAGATCCTCCTCATCATGATCAATCCTTAAGTAATACAAAAAGAAATACTTAAGTAGTAAATAAGTAGTATAAATGAGAATCGCTAAAAAGATGGTAGAAAATGGTATACAAGATAATAATAATAATAATCATAATAATAATAGAAAGAGACACGATTAAAATACAATAATACACTGTGTTTCAATCAGTTTTCGGTTGTTTTTTTTTGTCTTATAGTGCATAATTGTTGTAAGCATATACGCGTATACGATTGTGTTGCTGAGAAGCAATGGACTCTGATTCGCCATCAAACAGAATCTACATTATTTTGAAAGAGGGAGAATGATTCACATTGTGTAGGCGAAATCATGATTATCAAACAGCATCAACATCTGGAATCCCATTTCCGCATAACACACATACACACACAAATGACATTGGTTATTCGATTAGGAGGCTTTGCAGTGATGCAAGAAAATAGAAAGTAGACAGTAAGAAGAGGAAGAATAAGAAGAAATTCGTGACATACTTCGTCCCGTGACCATCAGCATTTCAAAGTATTTGTAACCTAGAATAACTAGTATGACATTCATATATGTAAATAAATTAATACTAAGGTTTCACATAGTTTTGTAACAAAAGAAAAAGCCATACAGACACACAGAGATACAAATCGATCCGTTAATCAGAAAATAAAGGTAGTAGCACTACTACTAATGATCACATTACAGGAGCAGCAGCATCAGAAGCAGCAGCAGCAACAGTAATCATAGAAATCATATAACAAGAGAGACAAGAGACAAGAGAGAGAAAGAAAAAGGCATAGAATACAATACAATCATGAGATAATCTAAATAAAGGATTATGCAGCACTACTAGTTTCAGTTCTATCTGTGTTCATCACATTACCACTACCACTACTACTAGTATTATTGTTAGTAGTTGTAGTAGTTGTTGTTGTCGTAGTAGCAGCAGCATTATCCGATCGATGTATACTTTGACTAGGATTGATCTCATCACTCGCCTCTACAGACACTGAACGATCAACAACAGCAGTAGATTGTGTGTGTGCGTCAATACTATTTGTTGTCGCAGCGATAATCTCTTCATAACTAGGCGGTGGAGGTGTATTCGACTGTTTTGGACTTAATATTTGACTAGATGTTGCATTATTCTGTTCGTTGTCATCAACAATGGAACAACTGAATCGATGCATGCGCATTGGTGATGATTTGGGTAAACCATTTGGATGTGTGATTTGGTTATCATTCTGTGTTGGCAATGCTGGTGGCGGTAACCAATCATAGGCAGTAGTAAAACGATCTGTAACTAATGTAGTAGGATTAGTAGCAGTGGTGTTTGCTGGTAGGGGTGTAATTCCAGAAAGTTTAACAATATCTGTATACGCTGGTGGAAGATCCATGTTTCTGAGGATAATAAAAGGGGAAAAGAAAAAAGTGTGGAGTAATAGTTTATTAAAAAATTTATTAGGAATACAAGTTAAGTTAATTAATTTTCTATAGTTTGGTTTGTAAGGGTTAGTTATGTTTTTACGAGTTGATCACGGATTGATATCAGTTAGAGAACCACTGGGGAGTACTGGACAGCATCGGCAGTACGCACCCACTGGGATTCGAACTCAGGACCTTCCGGTTACAAGGCAAGCCTGTATATCATGGTAAGTAGTGAAACTTTCTACCGTCAACTACTTCTTTAATATACTCAGAATGAATGTGAATAAAACATTTGTTATTATTATTATCGTTCCCGTGGGTTCCCAGTGGAACATGTGGCTTCACAACAGCACATCCACAATCTTTTCCTGTTCTCTGAGGTCCTCTTTATCTGGCTCCATGATTGCCAATAAGCTGTCATCCCCTATTCACACGACCTCCTCTATGTCACCCTTGAACCTACGCGCAACTTGTCACTTCACATTTGGGTTCCACTCGAGCAACTGCCAGCATTGAGCGCGATGTCATTATTCGAGGGTATCCTCAATGTATGCCCCCGATCAATCTCCACTTTCTCCTTCATATCTGCTAAGCAATGGTCTCTTCATTGGTTTGTTGCTAGTCAGAGTTTCTTGTCACTAATTCTTTCTAGCCGGTCGGCCATTTGGTCTTCAGTATAGAACCAGAGTAGTGGGCAGCTGCACATAAAAGTCTGCAGCTGGCTGTTGGAAATAATTTTCGTGACGCACACGCCAAGTTTCCGACCCATATAGAAACTGACTGACTTCGCATTTGTGTTGAAAATCCGAATCTCGTTCTTTATACTGAGTGGTGGAAAACCCCCAACTGACATCAAATTGATGAAGGTGTATCCTGCCTTTTCGATTCTGGTTTTGACATCTTCATCCGTTCTGTCGCCTGTAGTTGAAACGATGCCTCCTAGATAAGTGAAGGAAGTAACCTCTTTGAATTTTTTTCCATTGATAGTGATTGGTGAAATACATCATTTAAACAAGTTTAATTCAGAAATATTTTTCTTGTGTTTTGAAGTTTTCGTAGAGAATATATTGATTTTCCGGGATAGGGTCACCAGCTCCATGCCTAATCTCCCCTCTTTCCCCAGGCTTAGGACTGGTTAGCGAACTGGTGAACTAGTAAACTAGGTGACGGAATAAACTTTAAAGAAGTCACCTCCTTCACTTATCTAGGCAACATCGTTTCAACTACAGACAGCAGTACAGATGGAGATGTCAAAACAAGCCAGAATCGGAAAGGAAAGACAGACCTTCATCACCCTAAAATCATTTAGGAAATCTACTGCAGTCATCACAAACAACAAGACTATGATCTACAACACCAATGTCAAGTCACTTCTTCGATATCGGTCAGAAACTTGCACTGTGCGTCACGAATAGGATTTCCAACAGCTTGTTGCAGACTTTTATCAACACCTGTCTTCGCTGGCACCATAGTGAAGATATCAGATACTCAGCCGTAAAGAATTAGCAGCAAGAAACTCTAGGAACAAACCAATCAAGAACCTATTGCTCAACAAATATCTCGAAGGAAATGGAGACTGGTCAGACACACTAAGGAAACTGTAGAATGACATCGCGCATTAGGCAGGCCCTTGGGTAGAACTCGAATGGGAAACGACAAGCTGGGTGTAGGTTCGAGGGTGACATGGAAGAGGTCGTGTAAGGATTGGATGATGGTTTATGACCAATCCTGTAGCCAGCTAAAGAAGATTGCGGAGAAAAATACAAAGTGGAGATGTTCTGATGAAGCCTTATGTTCCAGCTGGGACCTAAGGGAACAATAATAATAAATCGAAAATAGCGTCGGTGATAGAATGCTCGCTAACCACCACGGTGGCCTGGGAGTCGGTTCCCGGCCGACGCTCTCCTTAACCTCGCTGCTCAGTGAGTAGTAAGCCGGGTACAGAGACAGAAGACTGGGCATGGAACTAGCAACTCCACCTTGTAAAAAATAAGCACCACTACTACTGAAACTTAAAACATCAAACATAACGCCTTATGATGTCCCAATCGGAACGCGCAGGAATAAAATAAAATAAATAAATTATAAAATAAACAGACGAAATTCAAATTATACCCTACAAAAAGTAGTTAGACTGTCAGTCACATACTATGAAAAAAATTGCCAAAATAGTAAAATAAGAGTATTCATCCCATAATAATTTGTTTATTAGATATATTACACAGTGAAACAGTATTATTTACTAGATGACAAAGTTTCCAATACAATTTATTATTGTTCATAATCATATCAATTACAATCACACAACTTCGAAACTTCAGTTTTATAGTTTTCTTTATTCCTTCCTATTCGTCGTAGGGATAGTAGAATTTCCCAGATATCCAACTGGAATCGTGTTGAATCATTCCTAGTAAACGTGTGTGCAGTCGATTTGATAAATAAAGCTTCCGTTATCAATCTCCCTCCCCCCAACCTTGTTATATTAGATCTTAGAACTGTCATCCTATCCCATCCTATTGTATGGTTGTGTTTAACTGCATGTAGTGAGTGCTATAGATGAACTATTCTCCAGATTTCTTATCTTATTCGGGTCAACCAATCTACATTTTGCTAGGTTTTTATGCTCGGCTAGTCTGACTGACCCTGTTCTACTAGTTTGACGTATGTATTTGACCTGACAGTCATTGTAGCAGGGTATTAGATAAACTAAATTGTTTTGATTAATTGGCTGTTCTACAGGATTCTTTAACCGACAATGCTTATTTCTAATTGAGTTTGTAGGTTTGAATGCTACTTTTATTCCTGCATTGTTAAGAATTCTCTGTAAGGTTTCCGAAGTCCCTTCTTTGTATGGAAGCACTACTGATGATCTATATTCCCTATTGTTGGTGTTGTTATTAACCTGTGCATGTTTGACATGCATGTCTTCATTACTATTATTATTATTATCATTATTATTAGTAGTAGTAGTAGTGATAGTGATATTTCGCAACTCGTGTCCTAGTCACCTCAACCGCTGTAGCTTCACAACCATCGATTCATCTTTCCTCCCCCTTGCCTGACACCCTACACCTAATCTCAATATTACTCACTATACTACACCACTTAACACATGAGGAATAGAACGCAAACATCTGTGGCCAACGACAGCTAGATTGGAGCCCAGATTGCATTGGTTGAAAATCCAGTGTTTACACCGACGAACTACACCTCGATACAAAATAATATGGACGAAAAAGTAAATTACACCAAAAATTATTAATCACAAAACTTCACATCATCTCAATAGAAACATGATTAACACATCAGTGAACAAATCGGCTTTATTAACTTATCCTCCACTAATCCATAGTAATCCAATTGTCAGTGATAACATTCTATCATATTCAAAAGAGGATTTACAGTCTATATCTGCATACCAGTGTCTGACTAGAGACCTGATAAAGTAACAAACCTTATCATTTATTTTATTTAAAAGACACACATGGTATATTATAGCCACCAAGATATGCACCATACAAGGGGGAGAGCTAGGATACTGCCCGGACAGCCCTACCGAATCAGGTGGTTGTCTTAAGAGGTCACAACATCCCTCCCCCGGCGAGCTCTTCACTTCAAGTATGACCCACAAGATAGTGGATCGGTTTCAACAACTGCATTCCAATAGTTTTTTGGTGACTAAAACAGATTTATACGCCATTTGATCCATTCAAATTCTAGAGTACATGTTTGCCATAAGGTTTGGAATCAGGGTTTCCAAGCTCCCCTATGTAGACCAACATGTCCACTAGCCCGACTATAAGCGCTAGATATTCGCATTTGCCATTTCACTTTAGTGAAGAACACCCTGTGAACTTACCTGGTAGAAGCTATGAACGCGTGTCCACGTGACAGTATTTCGAGAGGAAGATCGAAATCTACCCTCGACCATACCAGGTCGTTTGTCAGGAAAACATACCTTATGACTATTTCACTTTACCTAGACCGAATTTAATCCCCGAGTGATTCGCTAACCACACACAACTAACAAATATTTTCATGAGTTAGTATAGGATAGGATAATTAGTACATCTATTATACAAGCAACAGCTACAAGACAACCAGCTAAAACTTCTTAATTCATCAAACAACAGTGAATAAATTAGATTACAGTTTTGTCAAGACATGTATCATAATGTTTACGTGTGAATGATAGATTAAGCAAAACAATCTTTTTTCTTGACCTTATCATGTGTTCATAGAGCATCACAATAATCTTAAACTGAATAGTATTGATCACGTAGATACATTTCGGATGTCACATAATGTTATATGTACTTTAAACAGAATTTTTTAAAACTTAATTGTAATTATAAGCATATGAATGCAATGATATAGCCAAAAGACTTCTACATTAATCTGACATCATCGACCCCTTGGGTTAAGATATATCTTGTCTTTCGTGTCGGGAATGTAACTAGTGTCCTTTGAAAGGCTTCATATGCTGTCATTAGTAAAAATACTTACAATTGATAAGGAAACAGATAGCATATATATGGTCAGTTGGAAATATTGCACTTCTTATGCAGTATATTATGTCCGTTCACAAACTCATTCGTGTTAAAAATGAGATCTCCAATGTGTGTAATGTATCTACGTTCATACTTTTTGCCGTAGAACCATATATATATATATATATATATATATATATATATATATACAGACTGACAGAAATCAGTCTACACCACACAAAGGACTAGACACATTACACTAGTTACTAACTAGTGTTCAATCAAAAGTACATAATACAGTCCTACAGGAGGCCAATCGGAAGCCCCAATAACTAAGTGGTAACGTCTTTGACTGTAGCACTGGGTGACACTGGTCCGAATCTCAGAAGGGACGAGAGTTCCTTCAAGGTTGCAGACACGTCTTTCTGACTGGTGAGTGCCAACTGGCACAAAACCTAGTTCCAAAACTTCCTGCCGATTGTCTCCAACTATCTAATATATACCTCATAAGAACGAAGGTTTTCGTTAAAAAAAAACAAATAGAAAGATAGTAAATGATGCAGCCAAAAAATATATTTACTAAGAAAGGAGTTATCACAGTAATTAAAGTTCAAGGATGGATTTATCTTTTGATAAGTACAGGACAACGAGTAGGCGCGTTTGGAGCATTCGGAAAAACTAACAAACCAAACGGCCCGCCCAAGTCTTCTTCGTTTTGCTGAGGCTATCTCAATTAAAGCGGCTGGAATTTGATTTATGTGTCTAAAATAAATTCATCGTTGGAATTCAGTTGCCGTGTTAACCCCCACCCCTAGTAACTTTATATTCGATTGCATTAATCTGTCTTTCCGTGGTTTCCGTTCGACCTCCACACTAGACTTATTAATTTTGGACTCCTAATGTTCTACTCATTGTGTTTTATTACATATTAGGGTCTCATGTTTGATACCAGTGAGAGAACCATTGAAAACCAGGGAACACTGGACGGCAATTCCGTGCAGGTTTGGGACTCATCGGTAGTAAGCGCCTGACCGGGTCTTGAACTCAGGGCCTTCTGGTTACGAGGAAGGTCGTAGGCCATTCAGCCACTGCCGACGAGTCCCAAACTGGGACAAAACGGCTGTCCAGTGCTCCTTGCTTTTTAATGGTTCTCTAACTGATATCAATCCGTGGTCAAACTTGAAACAAATCAAATCCCTACAAACTAACTCTTGAAAAGAAATTACGTCGTCACCCTTTCACTAGACTTTTTACGTGCCAAATGTTGTAGCCTCTCCAATCTTCTGAGTTATATTCATCGTATTCTATCAAGCCTCGTTACCCAAGTGCTTAAGGGATAACTTTTTTTTTTCATGCTGCTACCCCTAAAATCAAATTTATGTATTTACTTATTTTAGGAGAAACTTCATATGATCTAATGCTTTCAGATAAATGTTCTATCTCAATAATTTGTTAGAACACTGCTTCCTGGAGAACTGATTCCCTAAATCTCTTGTGATGGGGAGATGTGCCGGATTAGCAGCTTAGGTATTCCGTTTTCAGGCACTGAGTTCCGGCCTCAAGTCCTGCTCCACCTAATTCAGTCTCAGCGACTGGGTAGTCCCCACACACAAACAGTAGTGCGGCTTATAGCCCAGTATTGGATAATTGGAATCTAACTAACTAAGAAACTAAATCTCCTTAACAGACATTCATGTTCGTTTAATTACAGTGATTTGACGAAGAGTACTTATTTACAGTGCATAAGTGTCACAAAAGTCGATCCCAGGCATATATTTTAATTTAGGATAACCGGAAGTCTTCAATGAAGACGGCAACTTGCATAGTTTAGTGATATTAAGTGATCACATGCACAAGGCTTGTTTCTGAGATTTTACCGCCTTAAATTCTTCAAAAACTCATGAATTCTTCAACATAAGCTTTCAGTCAGACATCTAAGGTAGTGTAAACTGCCCGGCTGGGGTCCTCGGGATACTAAAAACCAGTGGTGAGAAACTATTGATTGATATGGCTGAAAATTGTTCTCATTGGGGCAAATGCATTCACTCTCTGTTAACTCTCATATCCACTATATTTCCATGTTTCTCCACGTCACTATTCTTTCTCTTAATTATAGTTCATTTGAATCTCTTTTGTCTACCTTTGTGTGTTACATAGGATTTAGCAGCTTGAATAGCTGTACTTCTGTGCAAAGTTCTACCTTGAAACTCAGTCAATTTAAAAACTTATGGCCCCTTAAATTAGAAAAGTTTTCCTGAGATTTCTAGAACGCATTGTTGATGGATTTTACCGTGTGTACAAAACGCTGAGTAGACCTAAAGTTTCGGAAATTTCCATATAACATCAAATGCAAAACTGATCAGTAAATCGAATTCGCAAATTGACTGACTGATGGGTTTCAACATAGAACTTTGCACCGATGTGCAGCAGTTCGAGTTGCCACACTCCATGTAGCACACAAAGAAAAAGAAAGTAAAAAGAAATGCAAAATAGAAACAGTAAACAGAAATATGAGGAAAAATAATAGTGGTATCGAAGATCAATATAGTTTTATTGGGTATTATAAGTCACAAGGAATGGATGCATCTGCACCAGCCATTGAGAACGATTTTGAGTGATATCACCAACTGGCTCAAGCCTTCATTGGTTTTTACCGTCCCGAGCACCCCAACCAGGAAGTCTACACCTTCCCCCGTAACTGGCTTAAACTAACTGTTGTGAATTTCATTGACTGGTGCCATGTTTGAGTTTGACCGCCGCTAGCTCTTTTCCAGCCTGAGTGATCCTATGTCTGTTAACATTGCCCAACGAGGAAGTCGGTAGCTAGACAAGCATAGGTAACACATGTCCTAACCATCTCAGTCGATGTAGTTTCAGTCTCGTCGATTGATTTCCCCTCCTTACCTAGCACTTGACTGAAGCCTAACCTCAATATTGCTCACCCTATTATACCACTTGATACGGGAGATAGAACGCAGGCACCTATGATCAAAGACAGCTAATCTTTTCATGTCCTCCACTCTCAATGGCGAGGTCTCACAGCCATGAATGACCACAGAGTGGACTGATGAGCAGTACACACGCCACTTGGTCGATAGCCAGTGGGATATCACGTCTACGCCACAGACGGCGTAAACTAGCATATGCAAAAGCCTTCTGTATCCATGCTGAGATTTCGTCAGCGATCAACCAGCTGACACTGGTAGATGTAACTTCCCAAATAAGTGAAGTGGTTAACACGCCCAGCCACTTCACTCCTGACTATTTCTAAGCTAGGCGTCAATGTAGTCCAGTCCTATAGCATCATCTTACATTTTGCAGGAGCGAATCGCATGCCAAACATACGAAGATTGCAGCTTAAGGTGTTCAGAAGACTCTGGATTTCGTTCAACTACAAGGACTATATCATCTGCATATTCTAAATCAACGAGATTATTCTCTGGTAACAAGTCAATCCCTGAGTCGCTGGAGTCACTTAGGGTTAAGTCCATTAGTACATCCATGATGAAATTGAATAGAAATGGGGATAGTGGGCATCCCTGACGGGCACCACCAGTTGTCACCAGTTCAAACTACACAACTTCATTGTTTCCTTTGGAAACCAAAATTATTCAGATCTACTTGATATCATAAATGGTAATCAAGAAAGCAAGCATAAATGCTACTAACTGATCGTGATGAGTAGTTGGATACTAACTTGACCAGCGCTTGCTCGCCAGAATGAAGTGGTACAAACACCTTGACTCCATGTATTACCAGTTTTCCCGAGTAGCTAGTAGCCTGAAAATTCTGCAAGTCTGAACTGAACCAGCTATCTGAGTTGAATCAAAACGTCGCGCTCCACTGATAAGCACGGCCACAAACAAGAGAAACAGCCATCAGGTGTTTAGATCACTTCGATCTGACTAGCAAGCACCTCCTGTGATTGATGTAATTCGTATTCAACTACTCATATCTATCAGTCAGTAGAATATACCATCATGCATCAGTAAGCAAAGTAAATCCCCCCACCCAAATGAAAAGTTCAATCTCTAAAGAGAAATGAAAAAACTGCGATGAAAAGCTAGTCGATATTTAAGATAAAGCCCCATAAACGACGTAGTATGGTCTGGGGTGAGTAGAATTCGATCTTCCTCTCCAAATGCTCACACGTAGCCACGCATTTTATAACTTCTGTTAGGTAAGTCCTACCAACTCCCTTCACGTAACCAGTGTTCCTCACAAAAGTGAAAGGAAGAATGTGAACGCCTGGCACTTACGACCAGGTCTATATAGGGGAGCTGGAAAACCCTGATCCCAAACCTTTGGTGTATATGGGCTTCAAAGTCTGAAAGGGTCAAATGGCGCATGAACCCGTCCCGGTCATCGATAACCATGAGAATTCAACTCCTGACGCCATTCCACTGCCTTGTGGATCACACTTCAAGCCAAACGCTTGGGGAATGATAAACGCCTCCTTCTGTCTGTGCGTCTGGATAGTATCTCATATCTCACACAAACTATAAGATTTAATGTAGTGCATCTCTTGATGCACACAATGTACTAAGTCTGTGTTCTATAATAATAATAATAATATCAAGTAAAATAAAATAAATTACCCCAAGTTAATAGGATATCCAGTTGTATTACGATGATTTTGTAAGTATTCTGAAGCATCATCACTAACAGCATTACTTTGCAAATGAGATGTTCTATTTCGTCTTCTACCGTTTCGATTTAATCCACTGCCAGTGGCATTTCCATCATTTTGTCGTGGACCACAAATTTGTCGAAATAAAAAGCGTACAAAGCATACTACCAAAGTGATAAGTGCTATGGCGCCAACAATTCCACCAAGAATTTTATACAACTGGAAACCAGAATGATCAAATGAACAGAATGGTATTATATCTACGATAGAACTGCTATCCCGACTAAAGTATACTTTATCAGAAGATACACATTCATTACACTCGAATTCTGTTTCACCTGCTATAGAAACAAATAAAATAAGAAGAAGGCAAAGGATAGAAAATGATATTATCAAAAAACAAAAAACAGAAGAAATTATTTCTAAACAACAAAGACAATTCAATGTACTAGACTGAATGCTTTTAACGTACAACTTTGCACAGAAGCGCAGCAGTTCGACTTGCCACACTCTCTCCATGTGTAACACACAAAGCAAGAGAAGAGAATAAATAGAGTTCCAAAAGATACATAATAAACAGAGGTGTGAGTGAAAAAGAATAGTAAAATGCAAGAAAAATAGAGTTTTATTTAATATGATGAATCACAAAGAAAAAGACGTAAACAGAGAAGAAAATTTTCTTTTCGACTATTCATTTTCATAAGCTGTACACAGTTGCAATCATTATATTTAATAAAGAATTCATAAGACCAATCAGATACTAGTGAAATCTGTCCTCGAAAAAGTACTGAGTAATGGAAGATGTAGTCTAGAACGGGTGACTAATTGGAAATTAGAAAAGTGGCAAAAGTTGGAATGACGTAATAAGTATGAGAAGATGAGTAATCAGTATAGTTGAGTAGAGTGGATAAGAACTAGTGGAAAGACGATAAGAAAACTCTTCATGAACCTGAAATTCAAAGGTGACATCGAAGCAGAAACTCTTAGAAACCGCCTTTCTAAATGTTTGAAGAAGACATTTCAAGCAGCCACCAGCAGACAGTTAATCCAGTCTAACGTTAAGGATAAGATACTGCTTTCGGTCACTTTAATGTGTATTTATCAGTTTACGTGCTCATGTGCAGCAAAGTATATCGACTGTACTCAACGTCAAGTCTGCAAAACGTATTCTGGAACACTGTCCAGCTTGGCTAGTCAGAGGAGAAAAGAAAAATAGTAACAGCTCCATCCTCGAACACCTTGTCAACTCTGGACACCGAGCACTCTGCATGAATACTTCACAGTGCTACACAGACTTCCTCAATATCGTAGTGAAAGGACTTCACCACCTTACATTACGTAATACGTTTTCGAGGACAAATCCTACTAGTATCTAATGGTCTTATGAATTCTTTAATATATATATATTTATATTTTATTATTTTTTTTATTATTTTTTTTGATTACAGCTTGATTCCACACCGTATTTGTTGGTACAGGTATGGAATTTTCAGCATGTGATATCGGTAGCCCAAATTTTGCAGGCCGACCATAGATATTATGTGTGCGTCGGCAGGGGATCGAACTCCGGACCGTGTACAGCTTATGAAAATGAATCGTCAAAAAGAAAATTTTCCAATCTGTTTATCTTTTTCCTATGACTCAGATCACAATGAGTAAACGTATCTGCGCCATATCACCAATTGTCTCCAGCCTTTATTGGTTTTTGTCACTCCGAGGATCCCAACCAGCCGAGCAGTTTACACCTCCCTACGTCTACGTAGCTGGCTTAAACTAACTGTTATGGATTTCACTTACTGGTGAAGCCATGTTGGTTTTGTTTTGATCATCACTATCTTTTTACAACCTGATCCCATGTCAGCTGACATTGACCAACGAGGAAGGAGATGGCTAGGCATGCATGCGTAATACATTTCCTAACCATCTCAATTGATGTAACTTCACAACCTCATCGATTGATTCCCCCCCTCCAACCTAGACCTCGACGCTTAACCTCAATATTACTCACCCTACTATGCACTAGAATGCATATTTCCAAGTGAAATTAGCAAGCTGAGCGTTTTGTCATTTAATTAAATTAAGAACGCATAAGTCAGCAAGGAGATCTCTTCTTTTCGTAACTTCACTACTTCAGAGCTGTACAGTTATTTAGGGACTTATATGTACAACGTTAAATGATAACCAAAGGTAAGAGGTTATTATGACTCTAGATAAAGTTCGTACTGGTGCCACATGGTCAGAAGTAATAATGTGCTACAGAATTCACTTTTATGCTGAATGTTTCGCGTTCTCCTTTCAACAGCCATGCGCTATTTGATGGTCATAAGCACGTGTCTTAAGAATGTCCGGCTAGTATAGTCTATGTACTTAACTCCATAAGAACAAGTGAATTAGGGATTTATTCAATGAAGCCTACACGGAGATGTGGTTATTGCTATACAAGTAGTACTCTACAAGTAATGCAACTTGGGATATCAATTTTTCCGCTGTTAAATACAAAAACACGACAGTATATTTAGTGATATTAGCTGATTTTGTAAACAAGTTTATCAGGTTTTTGCTTCGTTTTGACATAATCAGACACAACAGTCAAGGAAATTAACACAGAGGGGAACGCGTAATTAATTTTCCAAGAGTTTACAATGTAATATCCTATTAACGAACCCGCAAATTTCTTAAAAATGATCATGAACGGATAGAAATTGAAGCGGAAGTTCAAACCATTTATTCATAACCAATTCTTCGGAGGGAATTTTCACCGGCTAAACCCAAAAATAATCGGAATGATGATCAATAGGCCAGGTATTTCTGCCTACAGATTTTTTTCAAAACTGAACCTAGTGTCAATTATGTAGGTGTATAGTGTTGTGATTATTTGTATTCGCCAACAAAATATCCGAAACTCATTGTTTACTGTGGACGCATTTGTCACTATACCTCTTGATGTCACAGATTTAAAAAAGTCTCCCACTTCTCAGGAAACTAATAATAATTATGTGAAATATTACGGACTGATAATATCACACTGTGGAGATCACATCGCTGTAACAAAGTTCAAGATTATCATTAGATGGAGGGGGATTTGAATGTCACTCACTGCAGAAGAAGTAGCATTTCACTACTGAACCCCTAAAACGATGTCTACACAACTGGCTACCTTTTCTTATGTTTCATATTACTATTACTCGAAGACATAAGATTGACTGGACACACTTTTAGCAAAAGATCGGCATCATCGACTTTCTGGGCTAACACTCTAAGGAGATCACTTGCAACCTTCCTGTCCTACTTATGAATTAAAATCTCCCCTCCGCCTCACCAACAATGAAAACTGAATATCTAAACCAGGTTTTGGTTCAAAAAATTCATCACACCACCTGAGATAGTTGCTGAGTAAACAAGAACAGTAAAAAGACATCAGTACGTGAGATATTTTCTAGTCTTAACAGTATCCTATGACCAACAGCATGAATAGGATTGTCCAACAGGGCACTTTTCGCCATAGGAGATCACTCCTACACACTTGCTAGACCTCTGAGAAGTGCCTCTGGCAATCCTGGATACGCATATCGCGAGATGTGCAGTCTCACCACTCTGATTAAAGGAATCATCACATTTGGATATTGTAAGCGTCTGACAATGATTCTATCAAGCCATTGTGCCGACTGCTAGAAATTTGATTAATGCTGTTTTCTGAGAGATTTGAAATAACCACAGACATTGATAGATCCAATACATAGTTTGGAGCACTGCTCTTCAAAGAACCAGATATAACTATAAACTCAAATCACTGACGCAGATTACAGAACATGAAGTTGAAGGGTAAAGTAAATTTGTCAGTAGAAGGAAGTGAAATTTTAAAAAGCAGTAAGATGGTTGATAGTAATGCGAGACTTAAGTGTATCGGGGGGGGGGGGGGGCGAGGTAATAGTGTATTCTCCATAAAAGCTCATACAGGGGGAATTCATGTCTATTTGCCATACCTGAAGGAGTAGGAAGATTAGTTCTCTTTGAGTGCAGGATACGGGTCAGTGATATGTAATCTGTCTTAAAGTCCTCGGTTTTGTATACGACCCATAATATTTACCATGCACCGAGCCAACCTAAACTGTTATTACTCATTTAAGACTGATCATTAGGCTCTAAAGGAGGGAAAGCAGAAATGTAGAAATGGTCTCGAAGAGCCTTTCTTTCACATGAGGGTATATACTGTTAGCTTAATTCTCTGTATTTATGAAATTACATTGCACCACATCGACTGACTGACTGAGTTTCCACATACGACTGGCATAGAAAGTGAAGTTGTTCAATTCGCTACACTTGTTGCAGTACACAGAGTTAGAGAAAAGAGATTCAAATGAACTATTAATGAGCAAAAATATAAGGAAGAAAAAATAAAAACAGAAAAACGCAAGGGTTTAATGAATATGGGAGGCCATAAAGAGTGAATGCATCTGATCCATTGCGAATAATTTTCACCTATATCATTAAACCAATAGTCTCCAGACATTGGTTGTCCTTAACAGCAGCTTGATGACCATCAACCAGGCAGCCTACACTTCTTTACCTGGCTCAAACTAACTGTCAAAAACTTCACAAATTGATGCAGGTTTTGCTTTAACCAATACCAAACGGACTTTGTTATCACTGGTATCAATATGAAAAAGGTATTTCCATCACTCCAGTAACCATACGAATAATGCAACTAAGCGAATACGTAGTTGTTCATGAAGTATAGCTAATATACAGGCAAATTATAGCGTTCAGTTATCTAAACCTAAGGAACAGTGAAATACTGACAGTGAACTGACTGCCTACTAGAATAAGCTGTCTGGAATACTAATTAAGTCACTTTTACAGAGTTGACCATATAATCCACTAAGAAAAGATAACCTACAGAGAGTAAATTCAAGTGGAGGTTTGCAAGGATTGGATTTGATTGGCTACAGGACTTTATCATGAGCTGACATCAGTTAGAGAACCATTGAAAAACCTGCAGGGAGTACTAGACAGCTGTACCGTGTTAGCTTGGGACTCTCCAGCAGTACCCACCCACCAGGGTTCGAAACTAGGACCAATGATCAACCCATGAATCCCAACTTCTGCCAATTCACGATATTGCGTGACCACTAGCCAATGTCATTCGTAGTGAGTATTTGTCCTCACACCCAACCTGCTGTAACCCCACTGGTCACGACTTCTCATTAGAACTTCGGTAACTACCTACGTGAATAGGGCCAGTCGGTAGTGAGCATCAGATTGTTAACTGTAAAGTGTCAATGATAAATTCGGTATCATTGAGATAAAATTGATCAGATCCACCCGAGTAAATAGCGATCCACTGTTAAAGTACTAATAATGAATTCTAACTTATAAAGTATGCTATGTTGGCTAGAGGAATAAAGACTAGTCAATGACATTGATGATTTGCTACGCCATGTACAATATTTTTACGATGGGAAGGAAAATAAGGCTTATCCCGATTAAGTAGTTAAATAGGATATCTTTAATTCCAGAATTGGTGAAGACATAAAATTAACTTAAGTAAAAGAATAAAATAAAAGCAGTAATCTTGTGATTTTGGTCTGTTTTTAACCTGAATGAAATAAGCAACACAATAATAATATTAACTTACGGTAACACTCATGTCTGCTAACCAAACGAAACACATTCAAAATGGAGACAGATTGACAGTCACAAGTACGAAAGCGTTGTTTCTCAGCAACAATAACTTTGGTCTGTCCACGTATTGTTTGTTGTACATAAGCTCGATTAGGTTTTCTGGAAATATTGGTTGATGGTAATACACACTGGTTAGTCTGGATATCATCTGCCATGGGGATTTCTTCAAGACTACGCCAAAGTGATGGAGTTCGTCTCACATGACCACTGATACATTTAGTCGGGGAACATGGACTCCAAGAAGACCATGGGCACCATTTACGTCGAGTAAGCCTACTTCTATCATCATCAAGATCATCTGCTTCGGAATACACTGAATAATTGATTATCATCAAAAATAGGATTGCATTTGTAAGACCTAATCGTGATAGTATCGGAAATTCAGGGGATGACAGAAGCGAACCATGATTTACAAAGAATAAGTGAAGAGCGGAATGCTTTAGGTGCATGGAGATTTCATTGGAAATCTAGTGAGGAAATAAAATGAAAAACAGCTATTTTTGTAAAGGAATCGATAGGAAATACAGAAGATTTAAAATATGAACAATACACCTACGCTGAATGGTAGCCTTCAGTAAACAGACTGATACATTATAAATAAACAGATTCCAGTAAAATTTGATTGGCAGTAAAACATTGAGTACCGAATTAAAAAGCATTAACACGCTTACATTGTGGGTACGAGAAATTTCGAAAGCTCGGTTTGTCCACTTAAGATATTGACTTTTTTTATTCTTTGCTATCCAAGAAGAGCAAAGGTTCCAGGCTTTTTCAAGTCCCAGTAGGAGTGGTGTTTTCTTTAATGGATAAGTCTTCTACTCTAAGGCCTAATCTTCCTTATTTTCAATGCCTATTACTGACTAGTAAACTAAGTGACTTTTAGGAGTGTGTCAGCCGGGAGTCAAACCCACAACCACCTTGTGGCTGGCGAGTATTCTACTATTGAACCACTCACGTGTAGTATTGATCGTAGGGAATTAAAAAGAAACAGAAATAATCCTTTCTCTATAATTAATAAGCACAATGTAACGTACGGCTAATGTGGTGTAATGAACGATTTTAGCTGAAAAAATAATAAAACATTTAAGCTTTAAAAAAAAGAGCGTCTAAATAGCCAAGTAATGTGAAATATAGAACGAATCGCAAAATTTGAATAAATTATCGACTGGAACAAAGCAGCCAAAAGCGAGGGCTACTCAGTTTGTGCAAAAAACAAAGGACATCGTCACAAAGCTAAATACAATGAACAGTTACAATCTAGGCGAATGAGTGACTGAATGATAATGAAGAGGGCACCCACAGTTCCTGTGGGTAGTTTTATTATGATTATTCCCTAGGGTTCTGAGTGGAACATATGGCTTCAGCAGTATATCTCCACTTCACCCTGTTCTCCGCAGTCTTTTTAGCTGGCTCCACAACTGTCTATAAGCTTTCATTTTTTCTCCCTCACATGATCTTGTTGATGTCACTCCCAGAAGCCGCCCCCTCCCACCTCCCGTGGGCAATGATACACTTATGACAGATGAATGAAGTTTATCACTACTAATGACTGGTGTTGGAGATTTAAAAAATAAATTCCACGCGGAAAAGTTTGTTTAAACTAAACTCTAACTAGGTAATTCCTACGCCTGACCTAACCCTAACACTGTATAACTGACACTAAACGATGGTCATTTGTATGAATACTAAAAATCCAACGACAAACTGAAAGTAATTCTAGAGAAATTTTGTAGTAAGGAAACTGAATACTATTCTTATAATAATTTAAACAGTTTACTGTGGTTGGTAGCTTCATGGTTATCGAGTCAGTCTTTCATTTGCATCACTATTTTTCTACTTAGCCACAACTTCATACTAATTATTCTAACTAAATAAAAATGATGTGATAGAAGGTTTGAGTGATGATTCTATTTAAAAAGGCAGCTCTTAAATGTCTAGAAAACAACCACCGGCTATCAAACAAATATTTTGCAGTAATATGGGATATTTACGTAAATAAAAGATATTAAATTGACTGTAACCGTCAGACCGTTGGCGTGTTCTCTACGAGAGTGAAAGGGTGAATAATAATATCTGGTACTTACAACCGAACTGGTGAACATGGTGGTCCACATACGGGAGCTGGAAAGTCGGTCGGTTTTCGACATAGAACTTTGCACATATGTGCGGTAGTTCAAGTCGCCACACCATGTAGCACACAAAGCAAGAGAAGTAGAAATGCATAATATAGACAGTAAACAGAGGTGTGAGACAAAGGTATAGTAATAACGAAGAACAAAACAGTTTAATTGGAAATCATAAGTCACAAGGAGTGGATGCATCTGCGCCACTGAGAACGATTTTGAGCCATGTCACCCATTGTTTCCAACCATTGGTTTTTACCGTCTCGAGGACCACAACCAGTCAGGAAGTCTACACCTTCCTACGTGCCTTAGACTAACTGTTGTAGATTTCATTGACTGGTGCCATGTTTTCGTTCGACCGCCGCTAGCTCTTTTTCAGCCTGGCTCTATATCAGCTAACATTGCCCGTCGAAAAAGTACTGATGCCAAGTCCATATTGTACATAGGCCTCATTATCCTAACGAATCAAATGACTTATTAACCTGTTTAGGTCACTGGAAACCATGGGTACGCAGCTACTGACGTTGCCTCAGTCTTTTGGGTCAGCCTTACAGTCGAAAGCTCCGAGAGGGGATGACCACTTAAGACAATCACCTAATTCTGTCTGGGCGTCCAAGTAGTACGTCCGCCATTTCAAAAATTGTGGCGCATCTCTTGGTCTCCATAATGTACTAAATTTTTGTTTTAATAACGAAAGTAGACATCAAGACAACTACAACTGTATTGTCCTACAACTCTCGGGAGAGAATAAAAGTTTTTGAGCAAATGTACTTCAACGTGTACTATAGATTTCCACTGATGGTGGCAATATTTTTCAAGGGAGGAACAAGTCTGTAACCAAAAAAAAACAATGACACAAGTTGTATGTGACAGACTCACAGTCAACTACCTTTAACTGTGTGATCAGTCAAACTAACCCACTTTTAACAATGTGGAAAGACTGAGAAGAGGTTTTCATTCATTAAAACAGACTCCTAGTACATTTTAGCCGCATCGAATGCAATAAATAGGAGCGAAGGAATGTGTCTATCAGCTATCTGACTGAGTCCAATTACACGAAACAGATAAAGACGGTTGGTTATTATTTTTTTCAGTTTCTGGACAATTATCACAATCATTACTTATAAATTAATGTTATCTATACAATAAACAACACATATATACAGATAGTGTCGGTAGTATAGTGGTTAGGACGCTCACCGACCATGCACATGGTCCGGGGTTCGATTCCCGGCCACCGACGCACTCATTTACCTATCTAAGCCAGAAATAATTCTGGCAAAGAGGAAAGGTTGGGCATGGGGCTTGCAACCCCATCCTGTAAAATAAACACTGCTACAGAAACTTCAAGCCACTAGCTTGAAGCCCTATGTTCCACTGGGGAACGTGAAGGAAATTAAAAAATATATATATATACAGATAGATATACACACTGAGACAATTTAAAAATGACAAGTTGACAATATCACTAGAAATACATGACTAGTTACATTTATTCAATTGGTACAAATATTTACCCAAAGGCGATTTTCAAACATGTTCACTTTGATCTACGTACTGTTTGACTGTATTTTGATTATTAAAATCTCAGTATTTCTACTTAAAAAGCTGTAGCTTACACAGCAAAACGTTCAGAAAAATCTTGTTTCGAACTTCAAAACACGCTGGGATCACTTTAAGTTTTGTAATATCCTACCAGCCGTTAGGATCCCTAGCTTTTACACAAGTAGCCCACTTTTTACTCCCGGCGCGGGACCGCTTTCGCGTCAGTGATTCAGTGGTAGAACGTTCACCTACCATCATCGTTGTCCGGATTTCGAAAACTAGCCGACTCACTCCTAAACGACGCCAAGTCAGTAGTAAGGTAGATAAAGAAGGGCATGAGGCTAGCAACCCCACACCGTAAAAATAAAACCGCTGCTACAGAAACTTCAAAGCCCTAACTTGCAGCTTTGTTTCACTCGGAACGTAAAAGAATAAAATAATAAGTAATACTACCTTTTACAAATACTTGAAGAAATCAACTCTCAGTGTGTACAGACAAAAAATATCAACCAGATACGCACTCCTAAAAGCACTTCGGTATTTTTGACCATAAAACCTCAGTTTTACTCTTAGTTTTGCTTATCTAACAAACCGAATTCATCAGAATCTTGCTCTTCATTAGCTTGCATTGATTATTAGGGTTCATGGAACAGCATCCTTGACCATTGGAATATCCCACTAACTTAAAATTCGAATTTTTCTAATGTTTGTATTTGTCCACTTGTTGAAACATTACCAACAAACACCCAGGCACTACTACTAGTCTCACCAACCACTGACTTTAAACATTTTTGCGAACACAACCAAGCCACCTACACAACGCGTGACTCGGATCTACGGAAAACGACTTTCTGTGATGTCACATTCCAGTTGTTTGTCCGAACTTTGTTACTAGGATTGGGTCTTTCGTTTAATAGATTATGAGCCACACATTGTGTGAGGACTGATGCTACAATGCAGTGGCCAACACTGAAGTAGGGGGTGGGAATTTGAACATGGGACCCACTAGCTGATATTCGAGTGCTTAAGTCAATGAGAGAAGTTTGCATGTTTTAGTTCAATAATCTCCAGCACTACTGTAACCAAAATCTCCCTTATATAGTATTTTTCAGACCCAACTGAATAATGGTTGGTAGCTGTCCATCACTGTTCAGATAAACTGATGGGATTGAAAAAAATCATAAGACAATGAAGTCTCATCCCCGCTAAAAATGAGCCTAAATAGCTATCTGCACTAGCTAAAACTGATATCATGAACAAAAAGCACCAAACATGGTGACCAATGGATACAATGGCTACCTTGGTACTTCGTGTTTTCATCAGTTATGACTGAAAGAGTTTCATGAAGCTGTAACATTTAACTCGATGTTTACTACAATTTCGTAAAAGCATTATTCATTTACGTTTTTTTGGTGTTAAAAAGATAATTGGAAAACATCCAGTTCTAACTGATCGACAAATATATAAGGTTAAATTCATCAGGTGGTCATACACAAACCCTAGCACTATTTGTTATGAGAAACGACGATATAGTTTGATGCCGAAAGGACGACTTCACTAGCTTTACCAGAGATCATCCATAAGCGGGAATGCATGTTTGCCATCTCGGACCATAATGTGCAAACAATGGGGCTACTGACCGAACGCCTATGAATAACGGTCAATAGTGAAGCGACGACATAATACTTAGATGATTGGACTTATCAAAGATAAACGTTAAAAATGAAGAGTTGTGATTACTAACACTTGTAAATCACGAGAATAGGAAATTAGCAGGAATCCGTTAAACTGTTGAAAAACAATTCTGTGTACGTCGATTGCCCTCTATTTTGTCACTTCAGAGGAAACTAATATAAGGCCTCCAAAGTCAGAAAAGGTCTGTTCAACTATCAACAGAAAGAATCAGCAGGGAGTGACGGTAGAATTCGTGGAAAATTTCTAAGAATGCCTATCTCAGGTGTTTAATTTTACAACAGGACACAAACGTACATTTGTCAAACAATGGTATAAACCTGGCACCGACGTATGGGCTTCTTGACTTCGTTTCTAGGAATGCTAAGAATGGGTATAGTGTAACCTATGGTAGGATAGCTGTGAAAAACTGCACTCATCTCTATTCACTTAACTTTTTCTTCACAGCCGGGATTAAGTATTGCAGCATTATTGTTTTTGTGTAATCATTTTGTGCGCACCCTCGAAGTGGCGATTAAATCGGCTCATTTTTGACAAGTCAATTCATTTCTTAAACTGTTTGTCCACTGCTATTAGTGGTGACTTAGTTCGAATCTCCTTGAATATTCAAAGTTTCACTTGTCTATAATCCACCCAAAGTATTACAAACTGTCTCAACTGTGGGTGAAGTATTTGCTCTCTGAGTTACACTTGGCCAGCTAATTGCCCACGCTCAAATTATCTTATTTCCCTTCAGTAAAGTAGTATTTGTATCATACTTTACTTTCAATAGTTAATGTAGACTGTATAGCAACATACTTAACCTAAAATCTCAGCCAGAAACCTTTAGAAAAAGCATATACGTTGCCAGTAACCTCCTTAATTACATATAAATCCAAATAAACACAAATATTCGTAAGTGTTTAAATCTCTCAGGGACATTCAGAACCTCCGCAAAAGAAAAGATCTTACTGAATAATTAAAGAGACCGCGTAACCAATAATTTTGAAATGGGCTGATCAATCCAATGCCCAATATACTTCTGTAGATCCCATTTAGAAAGGTGGTCTCAAGTCTTGATTGGCTTTCGCTAGAGTCAGTCTATGCATCAGCTGCGAGTTATTCGGCTCAGTAGGATTTTGCGTTGGATTTTACTGCGTTTTGATGAGAATTTAACGACACTTGTTGAACCGTCGGCATTTCACCTACCAGTCCAATATCCAGCATTGTTTTTACGAGCTAGTATAAACCAATTTGACTTCTTTGTGCTCGCCTCTTGATTGTGAGGTAAAGGTTCCTGATCTTCGGTAAACTTCTATGTAGCTCGTCTCGCCACTCTACTGTCGTAGTTTTGGTTGACTCCAAAAGGAGTAGTGCTGGGATTAATTATACGTGGTTTGTAGTATGAGGTGTGTTAAGACTGTTACTACTGTGAGTGGAGTTCACCAGTTAGTCCTCCGGCATCGTCGTCAAAAGAAAAGAGATAATAATAATATATATAGTTAGTGAAGTTATTCAGACTAACAGACAGAAAAAGAAATAAAGAAAATGTAAAAATAGACAGCTGATTTAATTTGAAGTTGATATATATATCGGTAGCAATAATAATAAGTGTAGCTGGAGTTGTCAGGAAAGTAAGATGGGGGAGGATATGAAGAAGTAAAACGACGAACTTAGTTGTCTACCCCCGAATGGTGTATGCGATTTTAAGAGGATAGGCCATTTGCACGCAGTGCCGCTGCACGATTGTCCAGCCTTCGCTTAAAGGCGTTCGCAGACGGTCCCGTAGCTATGTCTGCCGTTTAAGAATTCCAGGGATGGCAAACCCGCAGTGAAAAGAAGTGGGAGCGCACCTGGGTCTCTGCCCTCTGGCGAGCTGTCCTTTTGGGATTTCCACGAGGAAGCTTATGCATACTAAATGGCAGAAAATCTTCGTTTGGGTGATTCCGGTCATTTTTTATTTCGTAGGCAGTAATCAAATCCCCCTTAGCCAACGGTAACTAAGTGTGAATAGGCCTAGTTTCTTTAGCCTTTCATCATATGGTTTATTTCGAAGACCAACCATTCCTTTTGTCGCCCGACTCTGAACTCTTACAAAGAGGTTGGCGTCTCTTCTAACCAGTGTGGGTGCAATAATATTATGCACTTCAAGGCGTGGTCCTGCGTATGTTTCGTACAACCTTGGAAAGAGCTCAGGAGTGAGTTCACCTAACTGTCTATGTGTAAAGTATGTAACCACATATGCCCTCGCTACGTCCCCCATGTAATTTATGCTTGTGTCATTTTTTCCGTTTGAGCTAGACCTAAGTCATTCTCCGACGTTGTGCAAGACAAGCTTTCATTTCACAGGGTGTAACTTGCATTCTGCAGTCTACAGGTACGTGATTTCATTACTTTGCACTTTTTCAGGTTAAAAGTCACGCCACTGGCCACCGCCCAGTCTTCCAGAAGCTTTAGATCTGCGTACAGCCTGTCTGGTTCCTCCAGATACTTTATTGCCCTCCATATCTTTACGTCATGAGCGTGTAGAAAGGTTGGGCAGTTTAGACGGCATGGTAGATCATTGATAAAAATCAGAAACATCAGTGGTCCTGGGATAGAACCCTGCGACACTCCTGATGACGAGCTGTACCAAGATGATCGGGCTCGATTGACCTTAGTGCAAAATTACCTTTCAGACAGGTAGTCCTTCAACCATGATAGAAGTGGCTTACCTGTACCTGCCTGACTTATTTTGTGTAGGAGACAATCATGGTAAACTGTGTCAAATTCCTTCTCAAAGTCTAGGAAGACCATACGGACTGGAACATTCGTATGCCAGCATGATGTCTAATCGTTCCAAGTTGATACTAGGTTTGTTACACACGATCTGCCTTTCCTGAAATCGTGTTGGACCTTATGGAGTATATTAGACCTATCGAGGTAATCCCTAATGTGATCGTCAATAATACTTTCCAGTACTTTTGTTACCACTAGGAGTAGAGCCACTGGTCTATAACTAGTGGCATTTTGGCCATCTCCACTCCTTAAGATCGGAGAAAGGATGGTTCTTTTCCACTCCCTTGGCAGTTTCCCCGAATCCATTGAGTGTTGGAGCAAGTCGCCTAAAGGCCTACAGAGAGCTTCGGCGCACTTTTTCAGAACAGATGGCCTGATGCCGTCACAACCTGGAGACTTCACAGGGGTGAGTCTCTGTAGTCGTTCAAAGAGTTTATAAAGCAAATACAAAAGGCAAGAGGAAGCCAAGAAAGTAAAACCTATGAGTTTATATTTGAGAAATCTTCCGATTAAGTTGTGGGCTTGAAATATAGTATACAACAGAAGGCTTAAAATCTATGTTAATCCTTCTCTGATAACTATCAATTCTTGCGTAATCCCTTCTCATACAAGTAAATTAAAGGTGTGGGCACTACCGATTCCCACAGTAGGTTCTGAGAGTTAATGACTAAGTGGAAAAGCCACCACTTTACAGCGGCATAATCCCCCTTTGGCTTTGGAACCTTATCTCTAAGTCTTCTGAGATGTCTCTAACTGGTATATAAGGAAAGAGAAGACTAATCAGACTCGCGGTTATCTCCTGGAATTTCACGCGTTGTGATTAGGTTCCGTCACTGATAATGAGAAGAGGTGTAAAGTGTTACTTCATTCAACATGTGGTAGATGGTGGCCAACAAAATGAAACACTCCATTGTATCTTTATGTAGAGACTTGAAGCACAGCAGTCTTGAGGCACCTTTTCGCTCTTGACAACGTCCTGCTGAACATTCACCAGGTTCCTTCTCGAGTTGTCCAGAAATCCCCATTCTGGAGATAATTTTGGAGTCTATCTAACTGTTTCCAAATGACTACACCAAACTTCTCCATGCCAGACCATTTTGTTATACCATACGCTTATTCTAAGTAAAATCGAACATTGTTGCTGGCTCAGTTGCGTACTTAACATGTAGAAATGTGGAAAAAATGTCTTTCACGTTCATGTTTACAGCATGCAACAATCTACGAGTGAATCTGGTGAAGAAAGCACGATCAGGGTTGATATTAGCAAGTTTTTCGAAGAGCATATTAAACCTTGACAATTTCCCAGCTAGCATTATTTTTGGGCGCACCCCAACGATATTTTGATACAGTTTGCCTGAAACACTAATCATTGTAACCAATATGCTAGGAGTGTGTCACAGTAGGATTACATGACGCGGACACCAACATAAGTAGCCAGGAAATGGGAATTCCCATTAATACAGAAAACACATGACACAATTTTATTAAAAATTATTGGCAAAAAAAATTTCCAAGCGAAAATTCAACAGAACGTGATATTTAAGGTCAGCCAAAATATGTGGAAGAAATGTGTAAAGCCCTAGAGCTTTAAAAATTCACTAAAAGCTCGCGTACAGTTTCTGTATAGTTGAGCAAGGATACTGAAATGAATCGGCCAGCTGCTGCTATATGTGTGTGGTGAGAGCTGTCTACTAGCCAAATTGGTACACAGTAATTTACGTCAATATTTACGTTCCCAAGATTTGTCGTGAGAAACAACCAATCGGAAGACTGTGTTTGTTTGTTTACATATCCATAGTAATGTACATGAAAACATATGTAAATATGCGTTGATTTGCTTAATAAATGATCTGTTGCCTGACTCTTGCCTTCTGCCGTTACATGTGTTCTCTAGGAAACCGATTGTGTGAACTGCTTGAACGACCTCAAATTTTCTTCTGGTTCGCTTCAACTGTAAATGACGCTCATAACTGCTGAGTGGCCATGTACTCGACTAGGCCTGAACCTTTATTACATTGCCCGCTGATTCTTCAGCCTGACCCACCTAGTCTGGAGGCTAGGCTGTTCTTAGAACCACCCTAACTAGTGAAGACAGGATGGGACAATTATCGCGGGCTAAAGGTTTATTTATTAACTATAATATAAAGAGAGTATGAAGATACACAATCAGCCTACAATGCAGCCACTGCGGTTTCGTCCCCTGGAACTGAAACTGATCACCATGTTTCAATCCTCCAGCTACACGAATCAACTGTTGAAGGTTAGATTAAGTGGATGATCTTATTTGATCCCCTAAAGCTCAAACTACCAGGCAACACATGAGTTTTTTGCAAAATATTCGTTGCTAAGTTTCATGAACTCATATCCAGGTGCAGCCAATATCAGACTTTTATCTCATTTTTTGAACATCGAGTTACCATTCTACCAACTCATCAACCCAATTTTAGAAAAAATCGCGGATATTCAGGAAGTTGATGGTAAAATCATGGTATCTCTTGCTGTCACAGCATCGTGCACTTCAAATGATTCAAAGGTAGAGAAAATCCACCACAGCTACTCTAAAGCGATGAACATACAAAAACGCAATGTTCAACTTGGAAGTCACAAAATTATACCTTACTACTTATATTCAATTCAATAATCAGACAAAACATAATAAAGGGACAACATAAGAGTCGCCCATATCAGGATTGATAGGTAAAGGCATTATACAAGGATAAGAATTAATAGCACCACTCATGACTAAACCAATAATCTAGGTACTTTAGGTTAATGAGACAGTCATATCAACTAAAAAAATGATTTTGAATGCACTCAAATATTGATCGATAACACACTCGAAAACATTAAGTTTTCAAGAGAAGAAGAATCAGAGAACAAAATTCTATCCTTAGATGCCGTAGTGAAGAGAACAAGCACAGGAAATTTAGAAACACAAGTATACGGAGAGTCAGCGCACACATCAAGTACTCAACTGTAGTGGCAATAACCCAGTGATTAGCAAAGCAAACTATTGGCAAACATTGTCTTAAAGATTTCGAACACATTGTAACAATCCAGTGTTGAAGAGAAGAGAAAAGAAACATCTACGAGCTGTCTTCAAGAATAGCGAATGCCCATACAACTGCAGCAATACATGTTCAACTCAAGTAGAAATGTTGGCAAGAAACCACTCTCAAATTCCACAAGAAAACTCGCTCTACTATTCATGGGTTATTCCTCTTAAATAACAACTAGATTACTA